TTGTTGCGTATATCTTAGCTGTAAAAATGCAACTGCAGTTAAGCCGATATGACGCAGGTATGGTAATCTCGGTTGGCTGAACTATAATAACCTTGAAAAAAATTTTGCGGCAATGGCAGTGCAGAAAGACGAAAATGGTCATATATCCACAGGAAAAGTTATCAAAGGAAGGTCTGAACAGTGGGCAGTAAAAAGCAAGCGACTCGAGTACACCATGACAGATAGGATAACAACCACTGATGTGGTCGATACTGAGGCATTACGCAGAGACAGCATAAATAGAAACATATGCAAATTTTCGAGCAGCTGTCCTATACAAGCGATGCTCGCAGAACACAACTGCCCTGGAATGAGAGGCATCAGAGGTCAAGCACTGCGTAGCGGTGCAAGCCATCGCTATCTGATAAGTCTGAACAAAGACAAAACCGACCATGGGGCGCAGTGATGGCAGACGGTAACACCGAAACTAGCCAATTGCCATGACAATGTTCGGTGAGCCGCAGGCTTCATTCAATCAACAAGGTAGAAAGCGTCAAGCAGAGCCTAGTCAACACGTAGGATGGGAAAAAATACTGACGATGTAGTGTGACAACAGAGGGTCTGTTACTAGATCTCATCTGGGAGAGAACCGAATCCAGCTAGGTCAAATCAGCAAGATATTATCAGTGATAAAACGAGGCGCGTACAAGGTAAAAGAACGATTGCAGGTGGGGATACAAATAGAGGGAAAGACCAAACAAACAGAATGATAAAAATACAAACGAAACGAATTATCAAAAGGCAAAAGCAGATGGAAAGGCAAACAGCTAGGAGCAACAAAGTAACCGCAACAATGATGTTGAGTTTGTAAATGCACCATGCCTGAACCTCGAGTAGACCTCAACCATGGTTTCGACCAATATTCTTAGAGGTATCTATCATGCTATTAAACGATGCAACGGAAGCTTCATACAAGCAGTTGCAGAGTTCAAGGACAAAAAAGAGATTGCAAAAGTGATCTAGCCCAAAAAGCAGTAGTCTAGCAAGGTACCAAAGTTTGCCACCGAAGAGCAACCGATGAAGTGCAGCATTAACCGCCGAATGTTTCAGCCAAATGCACCTGCGTCACTCACACAATGGCACCATCAGATAAGGGGACATGATTCGTTACTACCGGTTGCCAAAAATTACTAGCATCTTAATATCTTCATGCTATGTCCCTGAGAACAGAACAGCAGTGCTTGGAATATTGTGTCGCAAATGCTAACCTTGGTCGACGCACAGATATCTCATTGTATGCATGAAAACTGGAGGCCGAGAGAGTCAACATAAACTTCACTGGTTGGAACAACAAAGGTGACACAGCTGTCAAGACAAGTGAACTGATTGTTGCAGTTGTGAGAACTGAGGGTGTTAACCCAGCTGGCTTGCCGAACAACCTCCTCGTGGTGTCAGCTGGGTGGTTCGGGATTTTCTCGTTCCAGCAAATGGTTCGGTGGCAGTGTTTAAGGATGTGGTGGGTTTTCGCCTGACAAGCGTTCTCCTATAAAAAGCCACATATGTCCGTTTAACAACACTGTGACGTGGCGGACGTGACTCGCCATTAAATAAAGTCACTGCCCCTTGCTTCATCCTGGCGAAGCATTGTATTCCAGCAACTTTGTGCTGTAATTCTGGGGGGCATTGGGCTCCTATTTGACAAAGAAACAAACGAAAAACGTATAAACTGAGTACTCAGTCACCGGCTCACAATGGGCGCGGTTCCCTGAATTCGCTCCGTTGCCTTGCGGGCAGGCTATTCAGCCAAAGGCTCGGGTGGTGTCCCCTAAGTCGACACCCTACTTCGGCTTGGGCATCCGGGTAGTATCTCGCCCTCTGAAGAAACCATGGACTATAATGTGTTGTGGTGTGTTTCCTTTCACAATTTCTGTACCTTTTTGTGTTCCATGGTTTCTGATGGCTCTATGTCTATTCATAGACTGTTGAAAANGAATAGCATAGGAGTTGGTACAGGTGGGTGAATCCGCTGAGTTGCAAAGCAACAGGACGCTCAGGCAGCGGATAGGAAAGCAAAGATAATTTAGCATGATCATCAAGAGTAGTACATCAGCCATTTGAGCTTATGGTTCATTTCCGTAAAACCACAGTGACCAACGGAACGAAGGATAATAAGAGGGAGAGGATGAGGGACGTAGGTTAGAATCTTAACGTCCTACTTAAAGATTAAAGATCAAGGCGCCAAAACGTTGTTAACAACATACCGTCACAAACAGCTGGCTATCGTGCAAAAATAACGTGGCATTGGAGATAGCTTCCTTGTGGCTTGTACTGCCCCGTGTCATTTTCAGCCATTACCTGGCGGATACAAGTTAGACTGTTTATCTGACAGATAAGAAACTAACATAATTGTGAGCGCCAAGCACTCGTCTACGCACGTCATCACTGCGGATACCATGGTTCTGTCTGACACAGAGTAACGGTTCCACGGGTAACAACAAACCCGATTTCATGGTGACTCAAATCTTCAAACTGAAGGGGCCAAGTCTCACCCCATTGAGTGGAACAGTCCTAGTTGTTACATTGTACAACTGGCCTATCAGGCCAAAAGAAACCACTTCAGGAATGAACTCCTAGCCTTTGCGATACGCGAACCAGCTTCAGCAGTGACGCACTCGTCGTTACAATTGCAGCCACCAAGATGAATGGGTCGATCACAAGTAGTACATCCAGTCGCGCGTTAACAAGGATTATCAGGTAGTCCTGCAACAACATTGCGATTGGAAGGCAGCAATCTTATGCTTAACAATTCCGTCGCAAATAAAGGCTACAGTTGAAATCAAACCTCCCACAGATACTAGTGACAAGCACACAGGCGCGTGTACTGTGCGGCAAGACAGGGAACTGTACTCGGAAGCTCTAAGCCACAGGTTTAAAAGGACTTCCTCCAGCTCGAAAACGAGCGAGCAGCCGAAAGAAAAAGAACAAGGATACATAATGCTTCAGCGGATAACCACCAAAGCACAAGTAGGTGGAATAGCCTGTTGCCAAGGTGTATTTAGTTGAAAAAGTAGTAATTTTATGGTTTGTGGTCCCAGTACCTCACAAGCTACATAGCACAGTCTAGACCGGAAAGGCACCAGACGCATTTCGAGCTATTAGGGATCTACAGTGGTAGGAGCTACTGGGACGAAAACCCTCAAAAGCACAAATAAATATACTCCTTAGTAATATAAAAGGTAGCCTCTCCTAGTTTCATATGCCATGGACGTAGCGACATCTTTTCTCAATTCGTTGCATCGTTCCCCCAAATGTTTGCATTGGTGACGGTTGAAGCTGCATCGCGTGCGTCACATGGCATGTTGCACGTATGCACCCGTATGAGTCATACTCATGGACTGTTCGCGACGTGAGATCATAAGATCGCGCGAGATGCAGCTTCAAGCGTCACCGATGCAAACCTCTGGGGGAACGATGCAACGAATTTAGAAAAGGTATAGTGAGAGGAACTCATGACCTTCGGAAGGTAGCCGTTGTCATATGGTGCTTTTCCGGACAAGGCTGTGCTATGTAGATTGTGAGCCACTGGGAGGAAAAAGATTAAAAAGTACAATTAAATTCTTCCTATTCGTTAGTAAATTAGTATTTATTCGGTTCAGCGCAATTAGATTACAAGACGCAAAGGTCAACCACCTAACCGTAAGAGCTGCAGACGATGTTTTCGCTCTATTGGGTCTTGTCAGCAGTGCGCATTCTCTCGGTCCTGTGCAGCGTATCGAACCCACGACCGTCAGTGGCTCGCAATACTAGTCAGTTAGCTCATGCTACGGAGCCATGGGGTACGTAGGCTGAGCTACATAATTTGCAAGCTAACAGGGAGAAAGCACCACCAATCTTCCACTGTCACTGACAGTGGCTAGCTTGCGAGGTGATGACGTCCTCTCGCTAGACGCTATATGCTCAGCAATGAAACTAGGAGACGCTATTAAATTTTATATTACTCGTAAGTAGCAGGAATTCAGTTGTAATTTTTAAGGTATTCATCCCAGTAGTTCACATGCCACATATGATAGGCTGGTCCGGAAAAGCACCAGACGCGTTTCGCCCTATTGGGGTACGCCAGCGGTGCGCATTCCCTCGGTCCCCTGCTAGGGATCGAACCCATGACCGCTAGCGGCTTGCACCACTAGTCAACTAGTTTATGCCACTGAGCCATGGGGACGACAGTCGACCAACACCGGTTGAAATCTAACTGTCATATAGCCATTAGCAGTCATGTATCCGATCCTCAGTAGGGGATCGAGAGAATGCGTATCACTAACGAGCACTAATAGAACGACACGACTGGCTACTCGTGAGGGAAGTAGTATTTGTTATCCCGAAGGTACTCTTCACCCCTGTGTTGTCGATCGACAAATCATATCTAAGCTGGATGGCAAACGTACCTAGGGATCGGAATGCTATGAATTCGTTCACAAGTAACACCGGCGAGTTGGTTGTCACATCTCTAACTAAGTATGAAACAACTCCAACACGTCCAGTCAGGAACCTTGAGCCATGTCATGCTTGCATAAGACGACGTCTAGCCAAAACTGACATTCACGATGACAAAGACTACAGTAATGAGTGGTGGTTCTAAACCTACACATTGAGGCTTGTGGCTTTCCATGCTTATTTAGTGATAGTTTGTCAGCTGAGCCGACATATAAGGGTAGAACGAAAAGCTTAGGTATTGTTGGATGTCGTTACAAATTCAAGAATCCCTCTGTCAAAAAGTGTGAATACCCATTGCTTCCCAATGGAACGGATATAAGCGAGCGGCAGTGGGCAAACGCTAATTGTGAACACACAACTTGAACACACGGATGCAGGTACTACGTTTCTACAGGATGTATTGCGCGTGAAGAAACTCTAAATCGCACAGTAATCAAACAAGCTGCAGTGCGGTCGCTTCGACGTTGGCGCCACCATCATCAGAATAGTGAACGTATGACATGTAATATCAAACATAGAGAAACGCTTACACGATGTTTGCACTCGTCCAACAGAGCGTCCACAAAATCCCAGTTTGTCTGGGCCATTCCAGAACGCTGCAATGCCGCAAACTGATGTGATTGTGCAAATGAGCGTGCGACCGGAGACTGGGGGGAGGGTAAAAAGAGAAGGAGGATGTGAAGAGTGAATGCCAAAACAGTGTAATAGACAAAAACGACGACGACGACGACAACAACAACAACAACAAACAACAACAGCAATCCTGGGATTGGACGACTGTTTAGTGCACGTCGTATATAAAGATGTTTGACCAAGGATTAATTGTGAATACGAAATGGAAAGTCTTGTGTGTCAGCAAAACTGCATCAAACTACAAGGCTTAAGACGCGTACAAGTAGAGGACTGATTAGTTCCACGGTCACATGACTCTTAAGATTCTGACCCTGTTCCCCTTAGACGCCAAATCACTGGATTAACACGTGTGCAGCTTTGTTGAAAGAGGACGACAACAAATCTGCTGAAAGTCGGCATAATTATAGCAACTTCAAGTAGGAAGACGACTGCTAAAAAGAAAGGGGTTAGCAGCAGGACGGTGCGCCGCACCGACGCTTCACTGCCAAGTGAGCACCACTGGTCGCCTATGGGCTGCGAGAATGCCCGAACCTACAAGGATTACAACCGATATCCCTTTGGCCACATGCAAAGGATAGCTGGCGTCTCGCATCGAAGCTGGCGGTGGTTTTAATAAAAAGAAACGAAGATAACCTTCATAGTATACTTATTTTCGATGGGCATAAATCTGTCACAAAATACCTTACATCTCCAGTACTCGCTCACCGGTGAGTGCCGTGACAAAACAGTGGGAGAGTCGGGAGCTGCGCGTTTGGTTGGCGTCGACATGAAAGCGATTGGCAGCTTTTGATGCAAATTGTTCACCCTTGGAGAGTTAGGGGCAGAACTAACAGGCAAATGGGCTCGTTCATTGGACCTCAGATGTAAAATGGAGGCCAAATTAGAGCCAGGCATACGGTGATAATCACATCCGTAGGAAGAAGCAGAAGGCATAGTCAACATTTCCTTTGACAGATGTGGGAAATTGCAGACGATTGCGTCCAAAGATCGACTGATACACTCGTCTGACAGCATACCGGATACAATTGATGGCATATGAGGGGATTCCACGAAGCAAGGAAACCCAATAGCCCCGAACGGAGAAGTGTCACGAGTTGTGTTGTTAGGTGGAGTTGTTGCAACGTTTAGTAGATCCGGTAGCGGAACTGAAAAATGATACCAAAGCAGCGAAATTTAAAAGTCGCAAAAGAGAATCAGGAAAGCATTTGAAGTTCCTGCACTAGCATGCTTTATAATGCCTCATAGCTACTTCATCCGGTAGTTTTATATTTTGCACATCCTTAAGTTATACTGCGCAATAAAAAGATTTTTGTTTTCCATAAAAGAAATGCCAATGTCGCTATGTTATAGAATACACTCCACTTATCGCAAAAATGTATTCCAATTTTACCTACCACATCAGGTTACATTGTTATAAGCAAGTGATTATTTTCAGTAATACTAAGGCTTCGTCGTACGGATTAAATGTAAATGTACTGAGTCACAGCATATACAGAATGCATCTATGTGGCAAATAGGTTTAAAATTTCAGTACAACACTTGCCGCTAACTACTGGCTGCAGCTTGGCCCTGGGAAAGGATGACTTCACCGAGATCGTCACTTGTATGATCCGGCGCCCTCAAACTGCAGAAATCAGCAAAAGCAGCCATCATAGAAGGCGTATACTTGCCACTGTAGCGCTGCTCCACGATTGAAATGTCTTGGTGAAAAGCGCTCACCATGCTCATCGCTAACAGATCCCAACTTCTCAGGAAAAAACTTAATGTGGTTACCTACAAAGTGAATCTTAAGTGACATTCGAGCACCAACAGCTATATAGCCTGCAAAGAGCATATTTGTGATGCCTTTGTAGTTCGCTGAGTTGGTTCTGCTTAAAATTCTGTGCACACTGCTTTGAATGATCGCCAAGCTTCTAGCTCAAATGAAAACTGGCATTCGAAGGCACTGTCTGCCATTATTCGGCGAATATCACGCCCAATAAGTACTCCATCTTTGAGCTTCGCATCACTGCTCTTCGGAAACACTTGTTCCAAATATTGGAACGCAAAAAAGCTTGCTTGAGGGCTTTGACGAAGTTTTTAATCAAACCAAGCTTGATGTGCATGGGTGGTAGATAGATATGATCAGGTTGCACATGACGTGTATGCTTTAACCTCATTTCCTCTGTAGCATACTCTGTCCTCTCTGCCTGCTTTCATGTTGTGTAGTGCTGTTTAGTTACTCTGCTGTCCCATAAGCACAAGAAACAGCAATATTTTGCGAAACCTCCTTGCCTACCCATTAGGAGTCCAATGACTGAAGTCAGCCCAGATGTTCCAACATTACTTATCGTAGTTCAGTGCAGTGAGTATCTGTTGTAGATTTTCGCAAGTCGCCTTCATATTTGTAGCATGTAACAGAGGCACAGTTGGGTACACATTTCCATTGTGAGACAGTATGGCCTTAAGACTACTTGGACGAATCAATGAACAAACGCCATTCATCACTGCAATGCCTGAAGCCAAGCTGCTTCATAAGTCCTTCAGGTCGTGACGGTAACAAAAGGTTTCTCTCATGACACAGAAACCGGTCAAGTTACCAAGTCGATATATATATATATATATATATATATATATATATATATATATATATATATATCTTAGCGTTTGTAGCAAGTCAGTGCCACTGTTGCAGCCGAAATGCCAACAACTCGGCTTTGTCTTTAGGCAATCCCAGGTCATGCACCAAGTCATTCAGCTCTAATTGTTCAACAAGGTGTGGGTTAAGAACATGACGTTCAAAGTTTTCATGTCAGAATTAGGGGAAGTTGACGATGCGGAACCACAAATCATCATCAGTGACATGTTCACTGGAGGCATTGGAATGGGCACGGTCGGATAGCTGATGGAAGAGCGGAATAATGAATTTTGTCCTTGTTTCGGGCTGGAGATTCCAATGACGCTGGTTAAGCAGCAATAGCAGTCAGTGGTCTGATCCTTTGGCTCGCTCCACACCACAGGGATTGCAAAGGGCATCTTGCCTTTGCGCATTAGCCACTGAGTCAGATGAAGATTGCACGACATACAAAGCATTTGCAGCGCCCAGTTCTTATCTTGACCTCCCAGGTTCATCCCGAAACATACGTGGTAGGCAGACTTCAGCAGTAAAGAAATGGGTCTGGACTGCGACTTTGCAGTAAACTGTCCACAGACGTAACAAAAATGATTTCGGTCATTGACACAGCAGCGTCTATCAGCCATGATCAAGAGATCAATTAAGGAAGTAAAGCTCTCAATCGGTTATCAGCAGCAGGTGAGTAACATGGTCAAGAGGACGTCGTTTCGACGATTACATAGAGTGAATGGATCAATTGCGGGCGAGCATTTGATGCAGGAAGCACACTGCTTATCTGAAATGAACAACTGAAATTAAAAAAACCCGACGTGATATAAACACTTGGTTTGCATATTCGTAATCAGCTCACTTGGTACTACTACAAAACATCTTATCTGATTTCTGTTATAGAAAGGATGTTGCACAGTGTTATTAGTAGTGCTTGTATTAGTATGAAGTTTGTGGCGCGAGGCATGGCAACTGAATTCATGGCACCTTGTTGCGTATATATTAGCTGTAAAAATGCAACTGCAGTTAAGCGGATATGACGCAGATATGGTAATCTCAGTTGGCTGAACTATAATAATCTTGAAAAAAATTTTGCGGCAATGGCAGAGCAGAAAGACGAAAATGGTCATACATCCACAGGAAAAGTTATCAAAGGAAGGTCTGAACAGTGGATAGTAAAAAGCAAGCGACTCGAGTACACCATGACAGATAGGATAACAACCACTGATGTGGTCGATACTGAGGCATTACGCAGAGACAACATAAATAGAAACATATGCAAGATTTCGATCAGCTGTCCTATACAAGCGATGCTTGCAGAACATAACTGCCCTGGAATGAGAGGCATCAGAGGTCAAGCACTGCGTAGCGGTGCAAGCCATCGTTATCTGATAAGTCTAAACAAAGACCAAACCGACCATGGGGCGCAGTGATGGCAGACAGTAACACCGAAACTAGCCAATTGTCATGACAATGTTCGGTGAGCCGCAGGCTTCATTCAATCGACAAGGTAGCAAGCGGCAAGCAGAGCCTAGTTAACACGTAGGATGGGAAAAAGAAACGGACGATGCAGTGTGACCACAGAGGGTCTGTTACTAGATCTCATTTGGAAGAGAACCGAATCCAGCTCGGTCAAATCAGCAAGATATTGTCAGTGATAAAACGAGGCGCGTACAAGGTAAAAGAACGATTGCAGGTGGGGATACGAATAGAGGGAAAGACCAAACAAACAGAATGATAAAAATACAAGGGAAACGAATTGTTAAAAGGCAAAAGCAGATGGAAAGGCAAACAGCTAGGAGCAACAAAGTAACCACAACAATGATGTTGATTTTGTAAATGCACCATGCCTGAACCTCGAGTAGACCTCAACCATGGTTTCGACCAATATTCTTAGAGGTATCTATCATGTTATTAAACGATACAGCAGAAGCTTCATCCAAGCAGTTGCGGAGTTCAAGGACAAAAGGAAGATTGCAAAAGTGATCTAGCCCAAAAAGGCAGTAGCCTAGCAAGGTACCAAAGTTTGCCACCGAAGAGAAACCGATGAAGCGTAGCATTAAGCGCCAAATGATTCAGCCAAATGCATCTGCGTCACTCATACAATGGCACCACCAGATAAGGGGCCATGATTCGTTACTACCGGTTGCCAAAAATTACTAGCATCTTAATATCTTCATGCTATGTCCCTGAGAATAGAACAGCAGTGCTTGGACTATTGTGTCGCAAATGCTAAACTTGGTCGACGCACAGATATCTCATTGTATGCATAAAAACTGAAGGCCGAGAGAGCCAACATAAAATTCACTGGTTGGAACAACAAAGGTGATACAGCTGTCAAGACAAGTGAACTGATTGTTGCAGTTGTGAGAACTGAGGGTGTCAACCCAGCCGGCTTGCCGAACAACCTCTTCGTGGTGCCAGCTGGGTGGCTCGGGTGGTTCGTTCCAACAAATGGTTCGGTGGCAGTGTTTAAGGACGTGGTGGGTTTTCGCCTGACAAGCGTTCTCCATATAAAAAGCCACATATGTCCGTTTAACAACACTGGGACGTGGCGGACGTGACTCGCCACTAAGTAAAGTCACTGCCCCTTGCTTCATCCTGGCGAAGCATTGTATTCCAGCAACTTTGTGCTGTAATTCTGGGGAGCATTGGGCCCCTGTTTGACAAACAAACAAACGAAAGGGGTATGAACTGAGCAATCAGTCACCGGTTCCAATGGGCGCGATTCCCTGAATTCGCTCCGTTGCCTTGCGGGTAGGCTATTCAGCCAAAGGCTAAGGGTGGTGTCCCCTAAGTCGACACCCTACTTTGGCTTGGACAACCGGATAGTATCTCGCCATTTGATGAAACCATGGACTTTAATGTGTTGTGGGGTGTTTCCTTTCACAATTTCTGTACCTTTTTTGTGTTCCATGGTTTCTGATGGCTCTATGTCTAGTCACAGACTGTTGAAAAATATATGTATATATATACCCAGCTATGTATAAGAACGTGCCCCATGCTGAGGCTGATGTTGCATTCTTGATGCTTCTTCACCGCAGTTGGGCTAAACCAACTTACACTTAAACTAGGTCTTTTTAAGCTGGATAAATTTCATTCCGCTTTATTTGGCTTGTTCTGCCTCCCTGAATAATGTTCTATTAACTGGCCACGTTGCTTACACTAATTGCGCTTATCTTCGGTAATTTTGTTGCGTTTGTAGCATTTTAAGTAACTTGTGAACATTTCTTACTTATCACGGATTTGTTGCTAACCAAATTACTTCATATGGTAATTTAGCGAAGAGTTATGCCACCGTATCTGTATGCATTATTGGATTTATTTTATTTCAGCTTGTCGTTTAAAGTGAATGGCTGTTGTTTGATATCCCTGGTTGGTTGCGCTTGATGTGTATGTTGACAAGGTGCCTACCTGTCTATTACCCACTACATCGTTCATACTGGCTCCAGGACACAGTTGGTCGTTGCTGGAGGGGACGGGGTGCACGGTTCTTGTGGCCGTGCTAGGCTCAAAGAGCGGTTCCATGCACTCAGTGTGGAGCGGACTACGGTCCAGCCACCGCCTTGTGTGCGCTTGATTCCCCAAATACAGCGTGCTTGTGTTTGCCTGTGAAGGAGTGTGGGCCGGCTCCGTTGATGAAACGTGGCTCCCATCCACATGCCTCCCGGTCTTATTCCTTCGGGTTTACACTGGATATGGGGTATGTGGTTGGAGCTGTGGGTGGTGCAGCGCAAGCCATCCATGGTCCCTCTGTAGCGCAGGCGTCCTGTGGCTTGCCACAGTGACAGGCAAATCCGAAACCGGATGCCGCCAACCATGTATAAGAACACATCAACTTGAAGTTGCGAAGCGCATGGCAGAGTGCAACACGCTGTGTGAATCAAGTCAAAAGCACGTGTAATGACGCGGGGGTATGTTTCCAATGAGGTCTTTCAGCATGATTCCGCACTTTTGTGTGCTTAATTAATTACTAGCTAAAAAGAAAAGAAACAATCGCCAAATTTGTTTTATATTCATAGCAAGGTATGTTATTTATCCTTTGAATATGACAACCCTTCCTATTTGTTTACTTATTTTTATCGGCAAACATTTAGAAGCCGTTTCTTGTCCACCTTCATGCTACCGCTCTTTTATTTCCTCCCAGAGCCCGCTAGAAATGGAAACTTCGGAACACGTTGAAATTGCCGACAAATTGAACGTCAGTTGGGGTATGAAATAATGAAATATTGGCTAATAAAATCACATTTTCGTTTTCTGATCAGACAGCGCCGGTGTACTTCGATTGGACAACAGTTAAGCGGAGCAGACAACGAAAACCTTTGCATGAACAACAGCGACCCCACTATCAGAACCAGACACCAGTAGATTCGTCTGCCCTTATCGCTGAACAGCATGAATGTGCGAGACTGTAATACACATAACAGAATACATATGCCCACCCCATTTGTTGAAGTGACTCCCCGCCCTACGGGTGACAACACTTGCGGAAAAAACTGTGCACTTGTTGATTTTTTCCTATGTGGAAACGGTTTATCATATCGTCGAGAAATAAAAAAACCTAGTTATTTATTTATTCAAGATTGTCCACATGCTCTTATTGTTATTCAATCACTGAAAAGAACACAGAAAAGATGGACAGAAAAGCTAGTCATAGTGGGTGGAAGAAGCTCGGGTGCAACCTGCTTGTTGCAGTATCTTAGGAAATACTCTTTTGAGAGCTTACTATCGTAGAGACTATTGACAGCTGAAGGATTCCAAATGGAATGAATACCGCTTTGGAGTACAATATTAACAGACATAAACGTATCTAGTAGTCGAAGTGTCGAGCAGATAGCCGTACTGATGTGATTTTCACGGCGGAAACAAACCAGAGTTTACTTCAGAAAATAAATACGAGGTGATGGCAAAAGAGAATGCAGAGTACGCACCAGCTACTTCTTGGGCTCGTGGAGTTGGTGGAAGATTGTGAGCGCTAGTCTGATTCGGAAGGAAAGTGGATGAATTAGAGCTGTCGTCTGCCACACCACGTGGTACTGTCAAAGTTGTCTGCCGAATTTGGGAAATGGCGTGATCGAAAATAGTCATGTAAAGAGGCATCATCGGATGTCGATCCATCATGCAACCAGGGCTTGGAGCCCCACGGTCTACGCTACGTGTCAGTCGATAATCCAGAAAGGCAGCAAACATTTGCGTTTCGAGGAAGGCACTTAGAAATTGTAAATGTGTCTCCGGTTGGTCACTCAAAAATCCAAATTTATCGAAGGCATGGAGTCCCGAGCAGACATATCGTTTCTCGCCAGTTGATTCAAAGACTCCACGTTCGGGGACGAAAAACTTGTCATAATCCCGAAAAATATTGGCAAAGTTCCGTAGAAAAACTGTCCGAGCTGCCGTATTGAAGTGGATCAAGTGAGTATAGGACGGAAAATCCTGAAACAGAGAACAAGTACCGTAAAACGCTTCAGTCCGAAAGCAGTCATAAAACATGGAATACATGGATACAGTATGTAAAACAGTGGCAACCAAGAGTTGATCGTGTCGAGCATGAATGCATGTGAGGTTCTGCACATTCAGTGAGACTAAGTTAGTGAAACCTATGGCACTCCCTCGTGACAGAAGGAGATCAGGTAGGATTGTAATGGGCATGTAAGATCTAGTAACAGAGCAACGAGCATAGCTAACACTGAAAACGACGCAACGCTTGGCCCATTAGCCCGAGTAACAAAAGGTTATCGGACGGGTTGATGCTATTGTGCATGGCAGTCTTACTGAAGTGAACGTAGGAGTTGGATCTAGAAAGTTACCATTCTCGTTGTTGTTAGTATACAGAAAACGTGGAATAAGGTGATGGAACCGAAATACTACAGCTTGTTGATCTTGATACCTAAATCGAAGATGGGCCATGACTGGCAGCATCCTATTCCGGATTCGCCTGTCAGTGCGTCCTCCATAAAACAGCCAAAAGAAACCTGTGCCTACTCAGGGACCATAGATGTCTAGCACTGCACAACGCACACCTCCATCCACACACCCGATATCCAGTTTACATCCATAAGTATAAGACCGGGAGGCATGTGGACCATAACCATCAGAGACAATTAGTGATGGAGGGAGCTCAGATAAGGTACCATTTAATAGGGCATAAAAGTATCGATGGCGAAAAGTGCATACATCGGCTGAGACAATGGCATGCGCAGCGCGGATGCAGGACTTCACATAGGAGCAGCGGTTGTAGTCACCGGTGTCGTAATCTGTCACGCTGTCTGCTCCCAGTTCGAACTTCGTTGGATTGCCTCCCGTTGTTGTCGTAGAAACGGTTCTCACGGGAACAGAAGTCTGTGTCTTCTAGAAGGAACAAAACATCCGGTCAGTTCAGTTAGACAACTATGAGTTAGGTACCGGTGGATCCGGTTGCCAACTCTCGTTTCTAGGATAAAGATAAATCACAATGGTGAGAAAAACAAGCAGAAGTGCGTAAGAAGTGCGTAAAAATAATAAAAATGGAGTGGATATTGACAGCTGGATGTAAAAATGAGTACAAATTCGGGGACGCTACTGACTGCGCAACTGTGCTATGTCCCATAGGGTCTCGAGGTCGTCAACCACGAAGACCACACGCGCCAGCCTAATTAAGTTCCTCGGTCAGTTTATTCATGCCTTTATGACACATGTCACCAATTAGCAACTTCGCGATTTCGCCCAAATCGGTGCACTGACTGTGTATAAGGTACACCGAGAGAGAGAGATAGTCAACGAGCATACGGAACACATTAAGTGAGTAAGTAAGCGATTAAGATTTAGCAAACTTTCCGGTGAGGTACCAGAGGGTTTTTGTCAAACATCGACTGGCGGACCTCGGCATTGCTCCCCGGTGTTCCAACCACCAGATATCAGCAATAGTCCGTAAACATCGGTGATCAAACACGGCCCAGCGTCTTCACTGCGAACTGGCCAGATCTTTGATATATACAGCGTTATATACCCTAGCTCCCCGCAGTGCCCAGGAATAGTTGGGCCTCCAAAAAGTTACACAGACCTTGCTAATAAGCAAAGTAAGTTCCTCAGTGATTTGACCAACACAAATTATTGATGAGGCAAGTAAATGCATTTTGTAAGGCAACAGGTATGAGTAACCGGATCGAAGTCAGGATGGGAAAGTTCACGCCGCTTCCGTATGTAGATGAAGTGATCTGCTTAACATATGAGCGAAATAAAAGGTCTCTATTAATTGTAAGCAAATGGCTGACGAGAATACGCAAACTAGTTGAATTCAGATTATCCTGTCGAAATGTTATTACTTGTGGCCATTTTAGATCTCCAAGGAGATGGTTAGAAAACTGTGAGCACTCTAATAAGATACACTGACATACTATCGATCAAAAGCATACAGAAATGGCTTACCCGTGAGGACCACTGAGAAAGGCTCAAATCACTTGGTGGACGTGGTCGTGGGACAGGTGCTTGGGTTTCCGATGATTGGTACTGTGTAAGGGGCTTCAAAGACGATGAATTCGCTGCAAAAGGTCAGCGCAGAAGTAGAAAAATGAAGATAATTTTAGTCATCACTGGGTGAGCGCAAAACGAGATTTAAGCTAGTAAGAAAGTCAAAGAAGTGCAACAACTACAAGTGCCTAATTCAACTCTGTTTATAATTCGGTTGAACAACCCTAAACGTACCTGAAGACTGAAAATTAATCCCAGTTAGTAAGTTGGACATTGAGTACAGAACGTGCTCCGCGTTTGGAAAGTGCGGTGTTTCGTCAGGCACGACAACGCGACCTTCATCAATGTAAACGTAACAAACATTGGCCTGAATGGAAAACGAACAAAAGATCTTTAAATGGTGACAGTTCGATTATTCTCAAAGATCACTTAATAAGAAACACTCAGCTAGACACACACACACACACACACACACACACACGATAGTTTGACGACAATTCAGAGTGAAGGATCAGCAAAAAAAGAATTCGGAAAGTTCAATTCCCTACTACCCCGCAAGCACACCTCGCTTGTCAACTCGATAGGCGACGAACAGTCAAAGTGGTTTGCACCTGAGGAATACGCATCCCACGGAGCCGGGCAAAGATCGGTTGTGGCTTCAGGATCCAGCTGCTTGATACCCATAATGTATGGGACTGGAGCATTGACAAAATGGATCAATGACATGGGAAGAATGGGTGCGTAGACATGGGACCATACAAATGGGAGAAGGAGGCATGTGATCCCCTCCGCGACCAACATTAGACGATAGTAAGCTGTGAAAATGGAAGAATAGGGCGGAAAGAATAATATAGATGAATGGCGACAAGGGTTAGTAGGGGATAAACAAGATAGGCCAATAACAGAACCGGACGGGAAGGTCACATAGATAAGAAAAAATTACATCTTTCTGATGAAAAGAAAGGTACTTGCCTATATCGTAAATGATTCCTGGGCTAACACATATGAATCAAGTAGGTACAATTTCGTGACGTGGCACTAAGGGTAGAAGGTTTCCCAAAGCCAGTTTCTATGTACCGATGATAACATTATCGCGGGAAACGGATTAGTGAGATAAGACCAGTAGCAGTGAGAGGTCAGAAAAGGTGAAAAAATCTAGTAAAACATTGTCCGTCTAGTAGCGAAGAGAGACGTGATAACCAAGTAATCCATGTCACCATCATTGAAGTAAAACTTGATGGGGAAATGAAAAAGATGATTTAAACGGAAAGTCAAATGAAACAAAAATATAAACGATGCAATAATGGTGCAAAATAAAACGGAATCGTGTAATCACATGCAAGAGTGCAATCAGCTTGAGTGATACAACTAGCTGAGACCGCTAATACCGGGGGTGACTTGAAATTTTCGTCAACTGCACCATGCCTCTCCGTTAGGTCATCACATGGTAAACATCACATGGTAAACAGGTTTACAGTATGGAATGAAGCAAGAATGGAATCAAGTGAATGAAGGTGCCTCAAGTTGAACGATGGTCCATTTGCGTTCCATAATAAGAATATAATAATGTATCAGCTGTACGCTGTAACGGCGCTTCGCTGCCGCGCGGCCACCACCAGTCGCACGCGGGCTGAGTATACCGCAAGGAGGCCCACCTCTACGCGGATTTGAACCGGTGACCTTATGGTTGCAAACCAAACGCGCAGACCACTCGGCCACCGGCAGACGGGTTCCATAATAGCTGTTACCGAATACCGAAAGGTGGACATCAGTACTGTCATCCCAGTGATCGCGTAAGAAAATGCTCCGAGGAGGAGGGAAGTGATCAAAGCTATAAAATTCGACAGTTCCAAAAACGCAGTGGACATGATATGCATAAATAGGAAAAATTGATCGCAAAGCAATGCCGTCAGAGACGTTCCCAACCGACAGACCATAATCTGCTCATCACTATAAGTTGATGAAACATAGACAAGTCGGGGGTATTCGTTGAGTTGAACGTCAGTGGTGACAAAAGTACCAGAGTAGCCAAATAAATCGGCTATGGACGGTGGCTGTTTAGAGACCGTGAAAGCTAGTGGTTTGCCTGCCCAGTTCGGCAAAGATGGGTACAGTGACTGCTGACCAATGTGTTCAGATAAGCAAGGAAAGAAGGACGAACAGGGCGAACAGTGATGCAGCCCAAATGTAGTGTTGAACGTATTGAACAGGTTGCCATCGATTCCCGTGTACTCCGAGAGTAGAAGGGCACACGTATTACATAAGAGAAGGAGCCAGCTGACATACATCTTGAATTCGAACATAACTACAAGCAGGCGTGGTTGACTGAAGTAAGATAAGCTTCGAAGGGAGCGCCGTTCAAGTCGCCCATGTTGATCGATCACGTGGCCAAAGTATCCGTTACTCGGTTCGAATATATCCCAATCTACGCTGAATTAAAACAAATTAGCTACTGGAGAATGTCCAAGAAACGTTAAGAGGTCAACACTATAAAGGTCAAAAAGCCTGGACGATCGTCATGCAATGTTCAATGGAGCAATTCATATAACAGTCTAAAATCGTTCCAGTGCGCTAGTTGCAAAAAGTAAACAAGGTGATCCGGCACCGTATTTCGTCAACAAGAGGGAGCCAATGGGATCAGGAGAGTCACCCACGGATGTAACCGATGGAAGGAGTCCTGATGTGAACGTTCCAGATGGGTTCAAGTGAAAAAAGAAGAAAAAGGAAAAAGGGAAAAGAAAGAAGGCGGAAATGCACAACCGAATGTCTGGGTCTGCGGTTTCTTCTCAGTAATTGTTACAATAATTGACGAGGGGCATTAGATAGCTGTCCCCAAAAGAGCCGGCCTTAACTGTCTCATAAGGCATGGCAGTCCGCGAAAACAAGCTAACACTTTCCGGGCGCTCTGTCAATCATCCTGCAGCGCATTGAGGATGAGTTGAAAGTGGTTCTCCAAATAAATTTTAATAAAAGCAAGCGACGCTCCAGGATGCCATCCTTAAATTGCACATCTAAAATTGCATGGAGCACAGACTCCGGAAGTGCTCATAATAGCGGTGTAGGTTGGCATCCAACACTCAAGAATAGGTCGTTTGGAGACCCATGTGTAAATTCATGGCGACATTGTTATATGGTGGAATGCGAATTTGGGTTAGCGAGAGAAGTTTCGTAAGTGGGTATTGCGTCGAAGATTGAAGAACGAGCGTTATGCGGATGTGTATCATGGCAACACTAGGATCTAGATATGTGGACTATGCCATTACGTCTGAAGTGAAACGCATATGGTGCGGAGAACACGGACTTCGAGGGCTGTAAACGCAAGGCCATCATGTCACTACATATATAGAGAGATCAGTTGAAAAAAAAACAAATATTAATTAGAAACGTACCCGAGGAAAACAGCACAATCCGATGCTCTAATAACACACAGGTAAACAGACGTATGAAGTCCGTCAAGTCTATCAACCGCAGCAACTCCAGCAGAGAGTATTCAAACAACGGTAATTCCACAGCAGCTGACAATCCAGTAGTTCCATCAAGCAGCATTGGGATAGGCGTCAACACGGCTTGCAGGCATAAATGGAAGAACAATAGACAAAATTCAGATATTTATAAACACGTTCTCTGGTATCAGAGTCAGTATTAAAGCAGTGAACCACGTCATTCTAGTGTCAATATATTCGTCCACGCGACGGTACCTGGAAAATATCCAAAGTGACTTCTGAATGCACCACTGAAAGTAATGAATCGACCTGGCTCCAGCAAACTGGTCTCATATAACAATTTGTAGATGAAAGGCTCTAATTTGGCCTCCGGCCCGCAAGGTAAACATAGGAACATTGAAGCCCAGAGATCTTCCAACCAACCAAAAAGTCCATGGATGAAAGGATAGCGGGAGATCAGTCCGATAGCCTGAGGGTGAAATGGAAGCAATGATAATCAACGAGTGATCAGTTGCTAAACAGCAGTAAAAGATACCCGGATACCCAGCCCCCCCTAAGTGTGTATAAGCAACTTGAATCAGTAAGCAAATCGGGCTTCATGTGAGAGGATGAGGTGACCCAGCACATCGACCTGGGCGATCTATGGGCAAAGTAGAAGTGGCAAATGCAACAGCGTTCTATTGTGGCAACAGAGGATTTGTTGTGCAAAGTCAGCGGCAGACCCAAGTGTGTTGCGCGTCTAGTGACCAAAGACGACACCAACGATGTTGTATAAGCAATTACAGCCAAGAAGGATAGGTCTGAACATCCTCAGTAAATGGTGCCGATGTCTCGCGTTCATCAGATAAAGCTGGACACACTACAGCTATGTAGGCTCAACCGGTGCTTGAATGTCGCCCCTCTGTTTCTGTCAATGACTGAGAAACTGAAAGTGAGTAGGTAATTCCCTGGATGTATTAACCACCAAAAGTAATAAAACTACAATGATAGATCAATCGACTCACAAGTTGCATTAGGAGCCCAGTGGTGAGAAAAGAGGTGTCAAAAGCCAGTGCTGCAATAGTCATGTGCATTTCAAGACGAAAAATAGAGCGATGTGTGTAGCGCTCAGTATTGGCTTGTGTGAAAATTCCGTCAGACCACAAGACGGTATCGTCGATAGCGCACTCCAATTGTGGAAATTATTTGGTGATCTGATGCACAAAGTAGCGCAAACAGGTCCTCAAAGGTGTACTTCAGATTAATAACACGAAATTTTAAAGGCAAAAAATATGTGAATGTGTTTTCAGGTATCAGTTGATACATCTGCGAATAGTGTGTTTGGTCAGCTCTAGATAAACAGGGTTATATTGATGTCAAGGGATACGGAGCTTTAAGTGAGCGGCTCTACACCGAAAGGCAACAGCTGGGAGCAAAAATTGCCAGACAAGTACCCATGGTGTTCATCCTCAACGTCAACAGCTGATTTCACAAACCATAAAAATTTGTCGCTCATTTCGAATCGAGGACTACAAGCCTGATGAAATCAAAAATAGCGCACATGTTCTGCGGTAAGAATTAATATCGGCTTACAGTCACAATAAGTCTCAGCACTTTCTTGGAGCTTCAGCATGAGACCGAGGGAATGCGCACCACCGACGACTCCCAAAAGGACAAAACGATCGTACGATGTTTTGCCGGATTGGGAACTCACCTATGCGGCTTATAAACTAATTGCGATTGATCAAATAAAATCGTACCCAAATCCGTCTACTAATCGAAAACTAAGCCCTACCAGCCTTCAAAATGCTATGTGGATTTACAGCGCTGGCAAAAGAAGTCCTGACCCGGACGGCCAATCTTTGTCCTCCGCAAGGGCAGTAACCTGCATGGAAGTGGAGGACGGGGCGGGCAATGTCGCAGTTACATTTCAACTTGTGATGGTCGGTTATCCTCCGACATGGCTCAGTGGCACAATATGTTGGCTAGTGGTGCAAGCCACTAGCGTTCATGGATTGGATCCCCAGCAGGGAGTCGAGGGGATGCGCACCACTGACGAATCCCAAAGGGATGAAACGATCGTCTGGTGCTTTGCCGGAATGGGGGCAGTGGACATTACAAATAATACAAAAGTACCCGTGGTTCTAGACTTGCGATTACAAAGTAAGGTGGAAACGTACAGCTCATGAACAGGTAAAGAGACCCACAATTAGACACAGAAATAGTTGCGCGGATTCAGTTCAAATAGCATGAGCTCGCTCAAGTCCATGTGGTACTTTCAGACGGGGCATCAGGAAATTTGCGTTATACGAATGATGTCCATAATTAAACGAAAGTTGTATAATAAAGGCTAAGAAGAAAATGGAGAACAGGCAGTTCAATAATCAATCCACTGATTCGGTATGCGGTCAATTTTATCAACCTATCCGATTAGCGTGGAGTAGGCATTCTCAGAGCCTGTGGCGCAGACGCGACATTCACCCTGGAGGGCAGAGTTCATAACGTAGCCGTCCGTTCAACTCTCTTATATGGTTGTGAAACCTGGCCCATCAGGTCGACAGACAAAGAGGCTCGTCACATTCGATCATCGCTGGCTTCGCAGCTTAGCTCATGTCTGGTGAGAGCACCACGTGAGCAGTGAGCATGGTCGGCGTCGCGTATTTGGCGCAGGAAGAGCGAGTAGACCGCTCAGCACCATTATATCACGCACCAGGCTCCGATGGCTGGGTCACGTGTTAAACATGCCAGCACACCTACTCCCCCGACGTGCATTGTTTGCGCGCCGGGGGTGCGGTTGGAAGTGGAGGAGGGAAGGCCAAGCGACGACTTGGTCGAGAGAAATGAAAACCCTCACTTCGTAGTGGGCGTCGGTTGGTGCATGCCGACTGCCTGGCTGGGGTCCGAAAGACGATGAACACATTTGGTTGGACAAACTTGCTGATATGGCTAGGAGCCGACCCCAGAGGCGTTTGTGTTGTGAGTTCCTTTGTCCATCCACCTCCTGCTTAGCCTCCCGTCCAATCATGATCGCATTCCTTAGGCATAACATAACTTTTGTGGCACGATAGCCAGCTGTTAGCTCTCCGGAACGATGTCCATCCGTTACTGGGGACTCAGCCAGCGTGCTACTGTTTTTTTCTTGTCCTTTGTATTGCGGAAAAGTAGCTGATGTGTTTTCCACCTGCAGCTAACGTGTATAATGATGATTACGATGAGAGCCTGGTGGTTAGCAGTGTGTAGACTCTTCGCTGTCCAACAGCATTGTTTCCGTTGAGCTGAATATGAGCGTGAAATAACTTTAGAAGACGGCTGCATTTATGGAACGATCGTTTCTAAATCCTAACGCAAAAGTTTGAGCTCACGAAAGGCATTGTGTTTATTATAGTGCAGTTCAATAGTCCAGACATCGTGCACTACACTGATATTCGACGGCCGGTTCGGTAAATGCTATGCCAAACTCAGTTGCAGAGAGAGCCAACCGTTGTCATCTGGTAAAGTGTTGACCGGCTATCCTGTTCACCCAGCACCTCTAGTCGTTGTACTTTGAGATTATGGAAATCGACTTATACCATAGCTCCTCGTCAGATACGCTGTCGTGTGGAATAGCCTACCAGCCACAATCAGGACTTGCACAAAGCAAGAACATTCCGCAGTCAGGCTGGAAATTGCCTGGACCAGAACTCCATAATGACCACGTTTCCATCAGGTAAATCACTACACGCGTTCTTCCAGGATGAACCATGAAATAAATAACCACTGAGAAAAGATGGTACACAAAACTCATCAACAACAAAAGTTATGTAATTCCAAATTAGTTTGATGCCACACCTCAAAATACATATATCACTCACGCATGAGCACGATCCCCATAGAACTCATGATCTGGCCCCAATCCAGGGACAGCTTTATTCATAATCGAGAAATATATGTATTTTTATTATTGCTGAGGGTAACTGCTTCACCCAAAATCATTGCCTCGTTTGAAACAAATGAAAATAACCATAGCTCGGGTGTGGATGATGATTTGAGCTGTTCTCTTAGCTGTGTGATTATTGTGCAGACGTTTCGTTGCCTGACAAGGCAACATCATCAGTGCGGCTCCACGGGCCTGGTTCGCAGTGCCTCGTAAGCGACTTCGAAGTCCAAGTGTTTATTGATCGAGTTTTGCTTTTAATGCCAGGCATCAATGAACTCACGTGCTTGCCGGCTTTTAGCCCTTCCAAAGATGCTGGCACATGCTCTGGGTCGAATCGATGGTTCTCGACGTCCGTTAGCACTGACATCAGGGAGTTCTGATCGTGACGACGAATGGCCAGGCTGTGATCATGTAGCCTTGTGCCAAGCTTTCTTCCAGTCTGTCCCACGTAGTATTTGTTGCAGTTCCGGCAGCATATTTTATAAACCACACAAGTTACTGCCTTTTTGCTAAGTTTATCTTTCACTGAAGAGTTTACTGCGAATTGTCTCCGTTGGCTGGTGTGTAACTTGGACTCCAAAAGGCAATGAAAGCCTCGCTGCCATTTCAGAGATTCCGTAGATATAGGGCAGAGTTGTTCTCTTTTCAACTGTTGTATTTGTCGAGGTATGTTGTGCAGCCTTTTGTGGTGCGAGGCAGCGTAGAATGAAGGCTTTTGGGTACGAGGTCCGCTTCTTCTCTGCCCGTCTCAGCTGCGGTGTGCTACAATGGGTTTGTACTCGTTTGAAAAGGGTTCGCACATAGCTGCATTTATGGGCTGCCTGATGATTGCTGCCGCAATTGAGGATCTGGTGCGTATGCGTAGATTTTCGGTAGACTGTTGTATCCAAACGTTCAGCACTAGTCCGTCGTATGAGAACGTCTAAGAATGGTAAATGCCCATTGTTCTCCTCACTGGTGAATTGGATGCCATCGAACACACTGTTGATTAGTACGTGTGTTTCCTCCAATTTGGAACGCTTGAGCATGACGGTGTCATCTACGTATCGCACCAAAGTTTTGGTCTCGCGATCGGAAGTGCTATTTGTTCCAGCGCCTGTATCACTACCTCAGCTATCAGACCAGAGATCGGCGATCCCATTGGTGCGCCTCTTATCTGTTCGTAAATTTGGCCATTGAAAGTGAAGTGTGTTGTTCGTCAGAATTCCAATAACTCCATCATCTGTTTGATGTCGAGTTTACTGCTTGTATCAAACATGCGAACAATTGTCAAACGAGTACGAACCCATTGTAGCACACCGCAGCTAAGACGGGCAGAGGAAGACCATCTCTTTAATCTGCTAAAGCGGAACACGTACCCAAAAGCCTTCATTCTACGCTGCCTCGCACCACAAAAGGCTGCACAACATACCTCGACAAATACAACAGTTGAAAAGAGAACAACTCTGCCCTATATCTACGGAATCTCTGAAATGGCAGCGAGGCTTTCATTGCCTTTTGGAGTCCAAGTTACACACCAGCCAACGGAGACAATTCGCAGTAAACTCTTCAGTGAAAGATAAACTTAGCAAAAA